AAAAAAAAAAACTAGAATAAAACTAAAATTCTATTAAAATTTTGAGTTATGACATTCATTAGCAAGTTGCAACTATATTTAATGCAAAGGTGGCTGCACAAGTTACCCTACTTGCGAAACTATTGAAAAAGATTACATCTGCTGGGAAAATACCCAAAATCCTAGGCAAATCCACTTTTCTGCCGGTTATACTCAAAAACCACCTAAAATGGTGTTTCGTACAGCTAGAAGAATTACTCAAAATGAGCATCCTTCAGCAAGTTAGCTGGACTTCACTGGGACTAACAGTTCTTCACTGGGACCATCAGTTCTTCACTGAAACCGTTGGATAATTTATGACATCACTTCAGAAGCTATCTACAGCATCTAAAACCAATTCAAAACTAGACAGTTGTCCTCACCTAACCCAAATCTATCCAATTAGACCATTATACACCTCTGACTCATCAACTAAAAATCACAAAAATGCCATTGCATACATAAATATTGATTTCTCCCCCATTTTTCAACAAACATGAACAGACCAGACCGATCCAGTTTCCATATCCCACTTTCCACGTCCCAGAAAATCCATTCCTTTCTGTTGGACCTCTTGCCCTATTGCTACATGTGGGTTGTGCATGGTGGTTGAGAAAAACATGCAAATTTCAGCCTTTGAAATTTGGTTGCATGGGAAATCTCATGGCAGCCCAATTTTGTTGAAAAATTGGAAGTCTCATGGCAACCTTTGAAATGGAAAATTGGTTGCTGCAACTTTGTCTATGCAACATTTATTATGCATGGTTGGACTATGACTTTGGAGCCCATTCAGCAAATCACACCAAGAAGAGCAATCCAAAGCAAAGTGAGCCCTAGAAAATACAAGAGTTTTGTGAGTGCTTTGGGTGAGGATGAGCAAGAGCAGAGTGGTTAAAATTGCTTTGCTGAGTGTTTTTTGAGTGTGTCTCGCATTGAAAAATACTGTGAGTAAGATTTTGGTGTAATTGAGGATTGGGTATTTTTCTAAGAGTACCACAAATTGTATCTCCCTATTTAATAGTGAAGTTTTCCTTGTGAGTACCCATAGACATAGGCTCAATTAAATCAGAGTTAAACCACTTAAATTCTATCTTTCTTGTGGTGGTGCACTTTTTTATTCCATTAATTTCTTAATCTTGTAGTGGGTTAACCAAAATCTCAAGCAATTTGTTCCAACAAACTGGTATCAGAGCCACGGCGGTGGTTAGTGCTTGAGAAATTGGTTTAATCATGATGGCATCTAAAGCGAAGTATGAGATTGAGAAATTTAATGGTGGAAAAAATTTCAGCTTATAGAGGTTGAAGATGCGGGCCATGCTAATATAGCAAAGTCTATGGAAAGCACTAGAAAAGGAAGGCAAGCTACCAGAAACTCTACTAGAGGAAGAGAAGATAGACTTGAAGGAGCAGGCACTGAGTGCAATTTAGCTCTCACTTTCTAATGAAGTCTTGGGGGAGGTTGTAGAAGAAAATTCAGCTTCTGCATTATGGTCAAAGCTGGAAGCCCTTTACTTAACCAAATCAGTCACTAACCGATTGTATCTGAAGAAACGATTGTTCACCCTCAGTATAAATGAAGGTGGTTCCATCAAAGACCATCTTGATGAGTCAACAAGCTCATTTAGACTTGAAGAATATCAATGTGAAGATAGAAGATGCAGACCAAGCAATTATTGTTTTGTGCTTATTGCCTGACTCTTATGACAACTTTGTTGAAACTCATCTTCATAGGATCAACTCTCTATGGAAGATGTCAAGGCAACCCTAAATTCAAGAGAATTGAAGAAGAAGGAGTTCGGAGACAAGAGTGGTGATCAAGCAACAGGATTGGTCATAAAAGGTACACAAAATAATAGAACTTTCAACAAGCGAGGAAAGTCTCAATCCAAATCACGAGCCAAGCATGCTCGATGTTACGAGTGCAATGAGATGGGACATTTCAAAAAAAATTGTCCCAAGCTCAAGGAGAAGAAAGATGAAAAATCCAGTGATGCCAACATTACCAGTTGCAGTGATAATTTAGATGATGGAGATTGTATTCTATCTGTTTCTACAAACCCCTCCGGTGAGGAATGGATTTTAAATTCAGGTTGCTCATTCCATGTATGCCCACGACGTGACTGGTTTGAAACATATAAACTAGCCACTAGCACGATGGCTCTTGGTGATGATACAATGTTGCCTATTGTTGGAATTGGCAACATCCGGATCAAGATGTATGATGGGATGGTTAGAACATTCGAGGTTCGCCATGTGCCGGATTTGAAGAAAAATCTCATTTCCATGAGTGAGCTTGACTTCAAGGGCTGTCGATACTCCTGTGAAAGTGGAGTTCTTAAAGTCTCTAAAGGAGCTCTTGTAATATTGAAGGGGAAGAAAGTTGGTGGTCTTTATCACTTACAAGGAAGCACAGTCAATGGCACATGTGCTGTGTCAACTTCAAGTAGTCTAGATAAAGATGTAACTCGGTTATGGCATATGCGGCTTGGGCATATGAGTGAAAGAGGGATGATGGAGCTTAGTAAGCAAGGTCTTCTATGTGGCTAGAAAATTAGCAAGCTAGACTTTTATGAGCACTGTGTTTATGGCAAGCAATGCAGGTTGCAGTTTGGCAAAGGAGTTCATCAAACTCAAGACACAGTTGATTACATTCACTCAGACTTGTGGGGTCCCTCGCCTGTTGCATCAAAAGGTGGAGCTGTGTATATGTTGACCTTCATTGATGATTATTCAAGAAAGTGTGGGTATACACTTTAAAGAGTAAGAGTGACGTGTTCCTCACCTTTAAGCAGTGGAAGACATTGATTGAGAAGTAGACTAGAAAACAAATCAAGTGTCTAAGAACAAAAAATGGTCTTGAGTACTGTAGTGGTGAGTTTGATACTTTTTGCAAGAATAATGGAACTGTGAGACATCGCACTGTCAGGATAACACCACAGCAAAATGGTGTTGCAGAAAGGATGAATCGTACACTCTTGGAGAGGGCATGGTGTATGCTCTCAAATGCTAGATTATCAAAGGACTTTTGGGCAAAAGCTATCAATCATGCTAGCTAACTTGTAAATCGGTCTCCATCCACAGCAATTGGATTAAAGACTCTAGAAGAATTATGGTTAGGTTCTCCTGTTGATTATTCACAGTTGAGATATTTGGTTGTCCTATGTATGCTCATGTTAGGGATGGTAAACTTGAGCCAAGGGTAGTGAAGTGCATATTTCTAGGGTACGCTTCCAGGATAAAGGCTATAGACTGTGGTGTGTTGAGAAGTCAACTCGGTTCTTCATGAGCAGAGATGTAACCTTTGATAAGTCAGCTATGCTCCAAAAAGCAAAAGAGGAGTCAACAATTGCAAAGCCAAACCATGGAGTTAGCAAGCAACTGGAGTTTGAAGCAACAACTCCAAAAAAGGCAGTGCGAGATGACAACATTGTCCAAGAGAATCTAGATGTGGTGCAAGATCCAGAGCTAACAAATACTCCATTGGAGGTGGAGACACCTGAACAAACACAACAGCAGTATAATATTGCTACTAATAGACAGAGGAAGAAGACCAAACCACTTCAGAGATATGGCTATACAGATTATGTTGCCTATGCTCTATCAGTTACAAAACCAGTGGAGGCTAAGGATCCCACTTATTAGGAAGCAATTACAAATAAAGAATCTCCTTATTGGCTTGCTGCCATGATAGAGGAGATTGAGTCTCTACATAAGAACCAAACATGGAAGTCATGAAGCCACCAAAAGGACAAAGAATTGTTGGATCCAAATGGGTCTTCAGGAGAAAAGAAGGAATCCCAAAGGTAGAGACACCCAGATTCAAGGCCAGATTGGTTGCGAAGGGTTTCACACAACGAGAGGGTATTGATTTCCATGAGGTATTCTCTCCTGTGGTGAAACATAGCTCTATCCGTGTTTTACTTGCCATGGTTACTTTATATGATCTTGAGTTGGAGTAGCTTGATGTAAAGACTGTTTTCTTGCATAGTGAGTTGGAGGAATGAATTTATATGTCTCAGCCAGAAGGATTCATAGTTTCAGGAAAAGAAGATCATGTTTGTTTACTCCATAAATCCTCATGTGGATTGAAACAATTGCCTCGGCAGTGGTACAAACAATTTGACAACTTCATGGTTAAGATTAGATTCACTCGGAGCAACTATGATAGTTGTGTCTATCATAAAAAGCTTGGAGATGGTTCTTGGGTTTACTCGCTGTTGTATGTTGATGACATGCTTATTGCTGCCAAAAGCATGTTAATCATTGATAATTTGAAAAAGCAGCTTAGTGGTGAGTTTGAGACGAAAGACTTGGGTGCAGCTAACAAGATCTTAGGAATGGAGATTCACAGGGACCGCAAGCGAGGTAAGTTGTTTCTCTCTCAAAAGAAGTACATTGAAAAAGTACTTGAGCGGCTTAGCTTACATGAAGCTAAGGCTATGACTACTCCTTTGGGAGCACATTTTAAGCTTTCATCAAATTTGTCACCAGAAACGAAGGAAGAGAAGAAGTTTATGGCGCATGTTCCTTCTGCGAGTGCTGTTGGGAGCTTAATGTATGCTATGGTATGTACTCGTCCTGATATTTCACATGTAGTCAATGTGGTTAGTCGGTATATGGCTAATCCAGGTAAAGGACATTGGGAAGCTATGAAATGGATCCTCTGGTATTTACGAGGCACGGTAGATGTTGGACTAGTCTATGATCGGAGTGTTGATCCAAGTGGAAATGTAGTCAGATTCGTCAACTCTGATTTTACCGGTGATTTGGACAAAAGGAGATCAACTACAAGATATGTCTTTACTCTCTCAGGATGTGCCATTAGTTGGAAAGCTACATTGCAATCAACAGTAGCCTTGTCAACAACTAAGGCGGAGTACATGGCAATTACTGAGGCAGTAAATGAAGCATTATGGCTGAAGGGTTTGGTCAATTATCTCGAGGTAGAACAAAATGAGATGATGGTGTTTTGTGATAGTCAAAGTGCCATGTACCACAAGAGAACCAAACATATTCAATTTCGGTATCACTTTGTCCGGGAGGTTATATCCAATGGAGATGTGCTTGTTGAAAAGATATCAACTAACGAGAATCTTGCAGATATGATGATAAAGCTGATAAGTGGAATCAAGTTCAAGCATTGCTTGGACTTGATTAGTGTCCAAAGTGCTTAATGCCCATCAGGGCGTATTGGCACCAAGGGAATGAAGCTATTGGTCCTGAATCTTATTTTTCGAATGCTCGCCAAGGTGGAAATTGTTGCTGCATGTCAATCCTGCATGGTGGTTGAGAAAAACATGCAAATTTCAGCCTTTGAAATTTGGTTGCATGGGAAATCTCATGGCAGCCTAATTTTGTTGAAAAATTGGAAGTCTCATGGCAGCCTTTGAAATGGAAAATTGGTTGCTGCAACTTTATCTATGCAACATTTATTGTGCGTGGTTGGATTATAACTTTGGAGCCCATTGCATTCATTGTGGGTGGTTGGCATTTGACTATAAAAGGCCATTTGGCCATTTGGCAAATCACACCAAGAAAAGCAATCCAAAGCAAAGTGAGCTCTAGAAAATGCAAGAGTTTTGTGAGTGCTTTGGGTGAGGGTGAGCAAGAGCAGAGTGGTTAAAATTGCTTTACTGAGTGTTTTTTGAGTGTGTCTCGCATTCAAAAATACTATGAGTAAGATTTTGGTGTAATTGGGGATTGGGTATTTTTCTGAGAGTACCACAAATTGTATCTCCCTATTTAATAGTGAATTTTTCCTTGTGAGTGCCCGTGGACATAGGCTCAATTAAATCAGAGCTAAACCATGTAAATTCTGTCTTTCTTATGGTGGTGCATTTTTTTATTCCATTAATTTCTTAATCTTGTAGTGGCTTAACCAAAATCTCAAGCAATTTGTTCCAACATGCCCTATACATTGAAAATCCCCAGAGATCCCTATTTTTCTCATATTTCCTACACTTCCAACCCTATAAAAAAAAATACTTCCGCCTTGCAAGATATCATGGTTGGAAGACAATATACTGCAATTTCAAACTTTGGGTTATCTTCTTAATCATCAAACGATCAAGTTGAAGAGTTAGTATCAAGAACGGGATCAAGTCCTCCATTTATAAGCCCCCACGACGACCATCCTTTCTTCTCCATCACTACTTTCAAGTTTATCCAAAAACTTGATGCACTAAAGTCACTCTAGCAAGTGTACTAGTCGCTCTAAATAATATAATGATAAGTAGAGTGTCAAACCCACGAGGATTGTGATTAATTAAGTATCAAAATAATTAATCTAAATTTATTTGAACAATTGAAAAAAAGAAGGTTTAATTAAAAATGATAAGAAGGAAATAACAATTAAAATAAAACTAACCAAGATATGAGGTATTAAGGCATCGACTTCACCATAATCAATTAACATGGATTTTCGATTATTATACTTTTAAGATGTTACTATTCATGTGACAACGAGATTTCCTATCATATTTGATATATTTTCTCAAGTTATACCAAACATATCTTAATCTATTAACCCACTATATCTCTATATGAGTTTAAATAGATAAAAATGCATTATGTTTTGTAAAATTCCCTAGTTTACGTAGAAGTCCATTTATCACTAATGCTGCACAAATCACGTTGGTCCATCTCTAACTTTCGTTCAATTCATGGTATATATTACTAGAAGTTATTACATAAAATCTCCTCAAGTCTCAATTATGCTCTCCTAATCAGTTTTAATGGTGATCAAGCATTAAAAAACATTAAGAACAATAATATATACTCATCATGGAATAATAAATCTCAAAAGTGTAAAAATCATAAAAACCTATATTGAATTGATTAGGCTACATTTTAGCCCTAATTGACTAATTAGTTTATAATAAAAATAATAAAACTTAAATCATAATTATAAACATTCGAATATCAAACAATAAATAAAAAGAATCTAAGGAAAACAAAACCCAATTCGAAAAAATTAAACTCCTTGATTTTCTATTATTAATGAAATCTCTATCTTAATCTCCAATAATACCCTAAAGAGGGCTGCCACTAACCTTCAAAGCTCTCCCAATTCTGAATTTGGATGGGTATTTACAAGATTTTAAAAATCCTAATTAAAATAGAGGTAGGACCCACACCCAAAATAATAAATTAGACACAAATTTTGTGAAAATTGCATAAGAGGTCAACACCGTCAACAAGATGCCGACACCTTGTGTTCAACGCACTACAACATCACCCTGTCGGGTTTTGGCCTTCTAAACAATTTATGTTAATGGTAAAATTATAGTTTTGGCCCTTGACTTTTGGATTCTGTACAACTTAATCCTCAGCTTTTTTATCTATGCAATTTGCTATTAAAAATTATGATTTCTTCCAATTAAATCCTTTCTTACATAAAGAATGAAAATTAGGTAAAATCAAGTAAAATCTCATAAAACTCATCCATATATCAATAATGTCAAAGTAAAAAGTTCACATTAATATCTATATAAATTCAACTTATCAAATTCCCCCAAAGTTAAGAATAATATCAAGGTAATGATTGCACTTAACATGTGCAATAAACCTTTAAACCCCTAAGTCATCTTAGTGGACGACTTATGTCTCGCGAGGGTTTTCAATAGGTCTATCCACAAAATCCCAATGCAAGAATGTCACTACATGATATGTAAGCAAAGAAAATTTAGGAATTAAAGTTGGTTAAAGTACCATTTTGATCCCTCAACTTTTCACTTTGGCACCAAAATTGTCCCTTAACTTTAAAAAGTACCAAAATTATCCTTAAACTTTTATTTTTGGTACCAAAATGATCCTTCGGTCAGTTAAGTGCACATGTGGCACGATATCTTGCCACAAAATCATTGGCTTTTTAAAATTTTAATGACGTGTATATCCAACAATGAAAATATTGTTACCGTGGCATTTTTTTACATGTGAAATGGTCATTTTTTCAATTTTTCCTTTTAGTGGGGCCCACCTGAAAATTTGTTTTCTCTTTTCCAATTTCAATCAAGTTCCCCAAAAATCACAATTTTCTTCGTTTCTCTTTTCATTTTCTTTTCAGATTCAAAACCCTAAACCTATTACTTCTGCAAATTTAAATCAAAATCAAAATAAGATCATCCTTCTTTTTTCTTCTTCTTATTCTCTCTCTCTCTCTCT